AGATTACATCTGCCCACTGTCAAGACATTTTGCCACACCATACAGCAAAGCAGCATTCCCTCTTTAATCTACTATTGCATTGGGCCTTACAAGCAGTGCTTGCAGAGCAGAACAGCTATTGTTGCAGTAAAGTATCCAATTCACTGGATTAGCCATAAGCTAATTAGCATCTACATATTTTACCTACAATACATTTCTAGTCTGAGTTGTCAGACAATGTGCTATGATACATGGCCTTGCAGTATAAAATGTGTACAATACTATTTCCATCTGAGAAAAAGTAACAGATTGCACATGATTATCCTCCATGTCATCATTGTTTTTCCAAAACAAAGATAAAATGCACATAGAGCTTCTTCTGCAGTGTTAAAGTGAAGTAAATCTGCAGTGCAGCACCATAAACAGGTTAAATTAGCCAGCTGAAAGAGGAACTTTAAACAAAGGCAGAAAAGAAAGGATAGAGTGATAAAGAAAGAGACACAGAGAGAGGGTTCAAACCCAGCTTCACCCCTGCTCTGTTACACAACAGCCAAACACACTGCAAAGGAGTGGGTCAGCTGCCAGAGTGGCTGTGTGTGTTTGTGTGTCCCAGTTTGAGAGGCACACACAAAAACAGACCTCAGTGCTGCTCCATAACATTGGGGATGAGCGCGCAAACTAACTGCCACAGTCTGCCGTACTCAACTGAGACTGTCCAAAACTGCTGTTTGCTGTCAGTTATATTGCTGAAAGGATCTGTGAAGTCATTGTCAGGCTCCAGTGCTCCAAAACATATCAGAAACAGTGTAATAAGTGCACAAAAGATTTTGGCTTCATTAATCGCCTAGGAGGTGCGCTCCAGCTGGTCCTTGAGATGATGGATTTCAAGACAGGAATAAGGTGACAAACAGAGCTAAAACAATTTATCCATTAATGAAGAAAACACTGCAAATAACCATTAGCTACACTCCTACGTCACAGCCATTTTGGATGGCTGACCCAGATGTGAGAGTGGATGTGTAACAATAGGTCACCAGTGGTAATTCATAAACACTGTGGCAGGAAGCATGACAGAGCAAGATAAGATGTAAAAGAAAGAACAACTGAACTTACAACTGACAGTATCAGCAGATGTCACAAAGCAGTAAGTTTGGGGAAAAGTGTGGCTTGCTTGGTTCATTCTGATGCTACATGCACTGCCATCCAAGAGAATTCATGTCCGCAGCGATGCTGTTCAGGAGCTAACAGCACAAGCAGAAAAAGAGAGGCTAACATGCAAACTGTATCACTAGAAAACTCAGGCTTAAAAAAACATGCACAGTAATTTATTCATGTTTGATTAAAATCCTTTACAAATTGAAGCTCACGGTTTATTGTATTTCCATCTGGGGGTTCTTGGCATGAAAACATTTGGGACTCCCTGAAAGAGAGGAAGATTTAGCATCTAAATGACCCTGCAGTGAGTTAAGATCCTCCCTGCCAACATGTGATATAATAAGCCTTTTTATTATGGCAGAGAAAGAGAATGAACAGTAGTGCAGATGGCCTGGCTCCTATTAACAGATCCCTCAGACTGTGTGTGAGACCAAATGTGTGCCTCTGAATAAGTGAACAGAAATGGGCGCCTTTACTGACAAGACCACTTGACTACAGTGCCTGTAACTGTGTGTGGAGAATGAATCACTGGCTGTGTTAATAAATTACCTATTTTACGTGGTATGGATGTACACTAATGTGCATAGGTGTGTTCATACTCACTGCACCACAAGATGTGACAGTATAAAGACAACTCCAACTCAGCTTCCTGCCACAGCAAGTAATCAGAGGAATGAGGAAGTGCTTCCTCTAATCAATCATCCTGCTGAGAGTCATTAGAGGTGTTTAGTTGATTACAGCTGTCATAAAAAAAACGATGAGACTCCGGAAGGTTGAGTCAGTGTTACAATCAAAAGGTGGAGGATGGGCTAACTCCTAAGTACATAATTTAGTTTCCAAAGTGAGGCACAGCGTACACGGTAGGGGTGGGAACATGTACATGCTGGCCACTCATAATCATTTGGGCAACGTTTGACTCACCTAAATGCCTGCTTAATATCTTGTTATAACAAGATTTCTTGTATTTATGATATACGCTCATGTTAAAATATGATTTGTCTTGTTATTACAATATACTGTATTTTCTCCTTACAACGATACAGGCTACTTTATTTTCTTGTTATAACGCGAGCTCTGCACAGCCTGGAGTTAGTTAAGAGCACACACACAGTATGCTCATTCAGTTCAGCAGCCTCTCTCTCTCATCAAGACTTCCCACTTTCCATAATGGGGGCCAGCGTTACGCCTAGGAGGTGCGCTCCAGCTGGTCCTTGAGAATCACTGATCAGACACTTAAATGCATGCATGATAATTAGCCCAGAAAGCAACACATGAATGCAGCTCAGGAGCAAACACACTGCACATGTCCTGATTAATTTTCAGGCATTACTGACAACAGGTGAAGTCAGTTTGTGGGTTTGTTACTCACACCAGGCTCTGCAGGGCTCATGTTAAGGAGTAGACTTGATATGATCCACTTTAGGGGTCTGTGGTGATATATTAGATAACTCATCTGGCCATACATTTGAAACTACACGTTGCTCATGCATTGAACGCCAGATAATTGAAGAAAAGAAATAAAAAGTGTGCATGATGGTTACAGGATTAAGGCTGCAGGCACCACTGCTCATATAGCTATATAACGTTCCACCATTAACAAGAATGTTCAAAGCGCAGCTCTGTAAATCGTGAAATACAACATCTAAGCTCCACTAAAAATGCTGTTACCCACCCTCTCTGGTGGAGTGGTGTGGCAGAGCCTACAGATAAATAAATCAAAAGCCCATCTTCTACCTCAGTAACTGAGACCCCATCGAATTTCAGTCAGCAGCATCTGAGATACTGCTATTGACAAAGAGATGAAAGCCCATTTTGGGACATTTTTAAAGATCGCAGTATTTTTAAAGATCACAAAACAACAAGATACAACATCCCAAACTGTCTGAGATAAGGAGAAATGGGTGACACAATCACAGCAACACAATCTACCCTGCTAAAAAGCTCCTGAAGCCTGGGTGATAAAGAACCAGTGGAGGCTGTTGAAAGTAGACAAGTTACACCAGTAGTGACAAAGTAGGCCGTATGGTTAGGTTCAGTGCAGCAGATAAGAGCCTTGCAAGGAGTTATGCAGCTCTGCACACTCATCACAGCCTGAACAAGTAGCTTATCAGAAGGAGCCGCATGAGCTGGAAATAAGGAACAACAGATTGGAGGTGGAAGCACAAAGACACTACTTTCTGTAGTTTTTGCTGTTGCTTTGGTTTTATAACAAGTACATATATTTTTCCTATTCCCTTAAAAAAATTACACAAAAAGAAAGGAAAGAGGCTCAGATCAGACGTGAGAACAGAAAATACAACAATAGAGATGAGGGAGAGGCTGTGTGTGCATATTTTAGGAAGTCCTGACTCACAGCTGTTGTGTTGTCACCAGCCACACTGTGCCAGTACAAAGCAAAAACAAACAAGCAACCAAGTGAAACTGGGACAGTTTCAACATCAACAGGCTTGTGTAGGAAACTCCCACTAGTACCAAGCTAAGCATCCACCTGACCAAATACCAGTCAGTGAATACATGAAAGTCTACTGTTAACATATCCATCTCTTAGATGTCCTGACAATGGGAAACAGTGGATAAGGTGGGGGTGAGGAACAGCTTTTTTCCTACAGCAGGACACCTAAGAATCCATTACCACACTAAGGCTGCTTAAAAAAAAAAAAACATTATCTGGGTTTTAAATGTGTTGACAGAACTTTTACAATATCAACAAAAGCTAATAGCTTAGACTTAGTTATGTACTTCTAAACTCAAACAAAACCAGACATGCAACTGGTTTCAAACTTTTTAATTTTGGTACTGAAGCTTCCCTTTGTTTTATATTTGAATTGCGGACTGTGCCTTTAACCGTTTCTGATCAAATGAACACAGCATAAAGGCTTAGAACTGTTTGTTATTGCTCGCAGTCTAATACCAACAACACTTCCACGACACCGACTTAGAATGGTGAATAAAGTGTTAACCATGAAGTGTCCCAATTTCTAATTTTAAACAGCCAATGAGAAACGCCTATTTTCTGCAGCCTATTATCTTAGGAAGCAAGATAAAAGACTGAATAGCCTTGTGACAGAAGATGGTGAGATTTGCACAGGAAGATCAAATGACCCACACAATGAGGGTTTGCTTGCAGACAAAGCAGGACTGTACACATATCGCCACCAAAACAAGCTCGACCATTTTGACCTTTCTCCTGCCATTTAAATGCTTACACAGAATGGCCAAGGAAGGAAGGAACACCAATGTGCACTGAGCTGCTTTCAGAGAATATATGTTCATTTTTAGATTACCTTTAAACAATACATCACACTGAATCACACTCACGTCACTGTGTGAGATATCACTGCAAAATCAGTACGTCTGAAACTGAAGTGTTAGTGATGGAAAACACATATAGTGACAAAGTAACGAATGGGGCTGCTGTCTCTGCTAACTTTGTCTGGGATGCCTCAGCCCAGAGTACATGGGAACTGTTACTGTACCTTCATTTTCTTGAGCAAAAAGGGGTTTCTTGTATATTTCATGATACAGCTGCAGTAAACTATGTTTTATTTTCTAATTTGAAAGTGAAGTAAGTGTGATGTGTGATGAGTATGATGTTCAAACTTAAAGGAAAGGTCTGAATTTTAACATAGTCTCTATAACAGGCAAAGCAGAACACCACTATTTGCACAGGTTCACTATCAGCATATTTAACATTACCCCACAGCTTGAAAGCAGACATCACTTCAGTGAAAAGCTTTTGGGGGTGGGGGGTCTCAGAAATAAAATAAGCCCCAAGTTGCATCTAAATGTGTAAAATTAAATAAATAAATAAAACACACACATCTGACAGCAACAAAAAAAAGTAGTTTAACCTGTGGTGACTTTACCTGAAGATGTTCGGTGGAAGAGCTGCTCAGTTCATCTCCAGACTCCGAGTCATTGGTGTGTCTCTCCTCACCTGCAGAGTCACAGTGTTGGGTGCTGTCCACATCTAGAGGGCCCCTGACCGCCTCTGGGGATCGAGGTCGGGAACGGGGCAGAGAGCTGGACCCTCCCTTGTGGCTAGGCTGGTGGCCATGAACAAGAATGTCAGCCAGAGCTCGGTCATGGTCTGTGGGGGTGCTGGGGGCGTGATGGTTGTTATTATCCTTATGCTGGCTGGGGGGACTAAGGTGCCCTGAAGAGGCAGTTTGTGCAGTAGGGGAGTGCGGAAATTTCGACTCATGTCTGTGAAGGCTCTCAGGGGAGCGGTTGTGGAGTCCCAGGTCCAGATTGGGTGGCCTTACCCAGACTGCACCTCCACTCTGTGGCTGTGTATTGCTGCTGGCAGCAGGATGATGTGGGATGGGTTTAGGAGGTGGCATGAGGGCTTTGCGGACTTCTCGGACATACTGAGCAGGTACATAAAAAGCCTTACTTCCCTCCTCCTTCTTCACCTGCCACCAGTCGCCATTGGTTTTCTTGACCAGCATATAGCATTCCCCCTGCCGGATGGTGATGAGGCGGTCCTTGGACTTGTACTCATAATCGTACTCCACCTCAATGTAGACCTGTCCTGGGGCAATAGGCAGTTCTGCCATGACACTGTTGACTGTCCTGTCCACCAGGCAGTTCACCGCAACAGGAAAATGTTTATCAGCATGGCTTCATGGGCAGAGCTGGAAAGAAAACAAACAAAGCTTAAAGTAAATATCCATAACACCTCCACATCCATGTAAATAAAGTTCCCATTATGCTACTTTCTATTGTCATTTTATATTCCATAATGGTGATTCAACCAATAATTGGGCCACAGGTACCGTGGTGACCTAGTGCTCTAATACATGTACCATGCAACTGCAGTGCTTTCAGCTGGAATCAACAACAACAATAGTCTCACCTACAAAAACTAAAAGTGCAATAACTGAAAGCTCCAACAAAAATGCAGGACAATAAGGGAACAATTGGAAAACTGTGAAGTCCAGCCCAAAGATAATTTTAAGAAACTGCATAAAGTACAACACCTGCAAAACACACTTCAACAAAGCCAAAAACAACCATGTCTTTAAAGTCTAATACTATCCACCCCAATCAGACCAATGAGTAAGATTACAACTGAAGCACTTTAATCCTCTTCAGAGGCTGAATGCACAGTCTGCTCACATAAGACACATAAGACCAGACAGAGGGAGGGGACACATTAATATGACTCACATGATCTTCTTGCACTATTGTGTCTCCATATCTCTGTCCTGGCTAACTCTGCCTTTGCCCCTCTCTGCTCCTCTGTCTGCAACTGAGGCATGTTGCTGCTGAATGGAGAGATTAGCTGATTCACATAACACAGTTTCCCACTGAAGTCACACAAGTAGTCTCACGAGGTGAGGCTGCAGAATACCTTGAGCAACCTGAACTTTGAAGGGTCTCTTATTTAAAACAACAAAAACAAAACACTCATAATTCAACTCACAGCGACAACAAAAAACAAGCTAGGTTTAAAACGCATGTCTTAAATATAGTTAACACTGAGGGCAACCTTGACTTCAATAAGAATCAACGGGCAAAACACTGACAAAACCAGAGGCCAAATGTAAGAAAGCGTTTCATTAAAACTGTAGCACACATTTTGCCGGTGGGCAGGAGCATGACATGAGATCTTATCATACGCTGCCTCAGGCTACCTGTGTATGGGCTAGCCTGACACAGATGGCAGTAAGTAGGTGGTAGTAGGAACAGAAAGATTTCATGATCTAACAAGTTGAAGAGTTAAAAAGATGTGTAAGTGCTCAGAAAAGCAGTCAAACTTAATTTGGTGGTTGTAAGTATTAGTCAATATTTTTTCATTAGCCCCAGTAGAGATGATCTGTTTAAAAAACAGATGGTGTCAGTTTGTTTTGAGTCTCACTAGGCTGAAAAGACATTAGCTTTAAGACCTTGAGTGACCCAGAAACAATAGAAATTAAAATGAAGAACATTGTGACATTTACTTGTAATTTCTTCATTAATCTAATCAGTCTAAGACAGTAAATAGAGCTGAAATCCACCAAGCACTCCACTGTTACCAGGTTCTCTTAGACTTTAAGGACTGTAAACTAAATATTGTTTGGTGATGAACTGTTGGTCAGAGAAAAAGTACTTCAAACATAGATTCAAAGTAGATCAAACAAGAAAATAATCTTTACTTGTGTTGTAGTCTGAGCCACATCTCATCCAGATGAGGTAGCAGGACATGGCAGCAGCAGTTAGCGCAGGAAAATACAGTGACAGTCGTAACTGCAATCCTACAAAGTCATCAGTGAGTCACATCCAGCGAGACCTTTGCCTTAAAAACCAAGATTATGACTTTAACGGACAATCAAGACTAGAAATCCGACTTTCATTATGACAGAGTTCAGAGTCACATCTCTCTTTCAACCCACTGCTGCTGACTGGGAATCACAACAGCTACACAATAAACAACTTCCACTGCCAAGTCTATGTGGTCAGACAAACAAAATCCTGATGGATCTATTTGCAGAACACATTTTCATTTAATTATTTTTGCTAGCCTGTTCTTAACCAGTGTGTCCAAAGAATTATCATAACATGGAAGTATTCATATTACATAAAGTGACACTAGTGTTGTCACCATAAAATTGGCAGTTCAGCAGCAAACATGGCTTTGGCAGCTGATAGCCAGCATCCCTACAGCCTCTGTTTACTTTCAGTGGGGCATTAGCTCCATAAAAATCTGTGATTAGGTGTGATTAGGCCTACACCTCCTGCACCGCTCCTGATGCAGTGACCACAGGGATCATATCACCACGGATTACCTTGCCGGGCCAGGCTAACTTACATGGAGGGACATCTGACCAAGCTGCTCAGACCATCCATTAGCTAAATGAAACAAAGCACTGCCTCTATTGGCAGTACACGGCGTTTCACACTGCGTGATGGTATATCATGACAGAAACTGGCAGCCTTCCACATGAACTAGCTCGGCAGGGAATGGACAGGATAGAGACCGTTTCTATTTCTATCTAATCCTGGTGCTGAAGACATGCAGACTCCAGTGGGCAGCAGACAAGGAACCTATATTTAGTGCTGTAACTAACACTTGTTTTTGCAAATAACTGATTGACTGGTCTTTAAAATGTCAATAACTAGTGAAAAATATCCATCTCGTGACATTTAACCATTTATCATCTTATCAAAAAGTGATTCGTCAAAATATTTTTCTGGCAGTCCATGAACTGATTCCTTTATTCCTATTATCTCATCTCAATGAGCATTCCTTTGTCTGTCTGCATTGTTTACTGCCTGTTTATACTGCTTATTTTGCTTTGTTTGTACTGTTTGTTGCTGTTAATACTGCTTATTTTGTTATACTAGCCTTACGCTGGTTTACTGTTTACTTGCCCCTTGCATTGGGGGTATGTACATACACATTGAGAGCCAATGTACCAGAGTCAAACTCTTTGTGTGTCCGACACACCTGGCCAATAAAGCTGATTCTGATTCTGATTCTGATTCCAATTGCTGCAGCTGAAGTCACATTTACTCACCGAAGCACAACATCAATGAGGTGAGGCAGAGCAATGGTAAAAATTTGCCAAATGATTTAACAGTTCAATTAGTCAAAGCAGCTCTTAAGCTTTTGCAGCAGTTAGACATTTCCTGGCTTCCTTACAACATTTCCCTGGTTTGTTTTCTTTTCACTCGTTTACTCAGCTTTAATATCCTGCCAAAGTTTTTAGGTAAATCACCAACCAGTCTGACAACTGCTATTTAAAAACGGTCGCTCAGACTGCAACAACCCCTATGACAGGATATACTACATCTAAAACAAAATTAAGATGTGAAAAGTCTTAACTAATTTTTGATAAAGCCAAAAGTTAGACTGACAGAAAATGATTTAGCACCTATTTTAATTACTGATCAAGTGGCTCCAGTGTTGAACTTGAGACTTTGCAGCTTTTCTTTGCTGTGTGTGACTGTAAACTGAATATTCTGGGGTTATGGACCAAACAAGGCATTTGAAGGCATGTGATGGGCAACGTTCTGATATTTTATAAATTAATGAGAACATGATTGAGGAAAATAAATCTGCACATTAAATGACAATGAACATCACATGTTTTTAATAGTCTTGTCCCTCCATCAGAACAAAACATCTCTATTCAAATAACATCCTAGCATTAATATTAATTGAATGAAAAACTAGGCTCTGTAAATGTCATTACCCAAATGATTTAAGCTAGGAATGTTTATAAATAACTCAATTTTCTTTTGAGCGCTCTTATTCCTCATATTGAAAAGCTGAGCAGTGGCAGCGCCTCTTTCAATGATCCCTGTCTAGATTAAACTCCAGAATCAGCACGGCTATTTAGTTGACAAATATTCTCAGGGTCCAGTCAGCATCACCAGAGGGAGCACCTTAATGTGATGTAATGGTAATAAGATTGACAGAGGGGTGGGGTGGATGAGTGTAGAATTTGGAGCTACAGGACAAGATGACAGGATCTTGGCTGAAACGCTGGGAGCGACGGGAGAAGAGATGTGTGTGGGACTGCTTGAATTGACGTGTGCTGAAAAGGTTGCGACTGTCAGCACATGTAGAAAACACACCCTCCCATTTCGTGACCAGTGATTATTTGAGTAAGTTCTTTTCATCAGAGGAAGCCAACTTATTTAAAGAGGAGGAAAGGAAGTGAAGTAGTTATCCATCATCCAAGTTTTACTGTCTTTACAGCCAAGATGTCAAATTTCATTGAGTAACTTTCCTCTCAGTTATTCAAGCTAATTCAAATATCAGTCAACTGTTTTCTTTATAATTACAATAATATCTTAGAAAACTGCTGACAGCAAATTTTGTTCAACCATAATATGCCTGCAAAGACACGTTGGCATTAAAGTGGCTATAATCAACATTTTTATACCAACAAAATCACGACAATGTGATGTTGTGAGGAACGAACAAAGAATCAACATTTGGATCTGCAGCTCCCCTGAGATTTATAGTAATTTTTTGCTCATTGTTAAGCCCTCCAGCTGCGACTTGACTGCTTTGGTTCACACACACAGCCCCAACAGTGTAGTCTTTCGCAGCTGCAGGCAGCTGTTTTCTGATAATCCCAGTAAAATCTACCTCCTCACCATAAAACAGCAGAAAGACACAGTTAGCTGGTGAATATAGTGGGAGCATTTAGCAGCTAAACAGCCAGATATTTCCTGCAGAAGTTGGTAGAGCCAAAACAGGATGAATATTGGATGTTTGGATGTACATCACCATGACTCCAAATTAATGATAATGTTGCTCTGTAACTGCTGGATGTATAAGCAACTGTTTGCAAAGGCGTTCACTACATCAACTTAAATAGTGATGATATGTCAAGGAAAACAGTTATTTCAGGTTTAAGCTTTGCAAATGACATTTTGCCAAATTCAGAGCAAAAAAAAACTGTTGACCTCTAATTTATTAGTACGTCAGCAGACATTGCGGAGACCAAAGCCACAGCACATAAAAACTATCAGCATGACTCAGTATCTCGAGGGATAAGTGAGAAGATATGATTTTTATTGTACTAACCCTTTAACATGAAAAACTGAAATGCTGGGAACGAGCAGAGACAGTCAAACAGTGCATGGTGGCTTTACGTCCATATTGACCTGAACAGCTTGGGTCCAGCACAGACTGTCCCCGTTTGGCACCTCTCACCATGACCTTTCTAGAAACTCAACTCCCCGTGGGCCCCTGCAAGTGCCATAACCACAATCTGTTACACTTGAACAGGAGGAGGGAAATGAGAGCACACAACATAAAAAAAGCACAAAAAAGGAAACATTTAGAGACAGGTAGGTCACCTGCTGTAGGAATGAGGCAGTGAGCATCACATAATGGAGTCCACACTTCCAATTCAACACGACATCATCCTTTACCATACCGTAAATCTTTGTCACACTGATAAATAAACAAGCTCACTAGCAAGAGGCTGCATTACACCAACCAGGAGAAACTCTCTCATGTGGTTTATGGGTTTCAAACTAGAATTCCAAAATATTAATACTGAATATTCCAGTTACAACAAAAACAGAAACAGGTTCTCTCACTTCATAAGCAAACATTTGGTTTATCTTGACACATGATAAATTATGAACTGATAATCAAAACAGTTGTCGAATTTTACCGATCAGCTTAGTGGGCAATCATCCATCCATCGATCCATCTATCCATCATTGTTTATCTTATTAGGCAAATAAGGGCTTCATTAAACTGTAAACGGTATCTGTAGGTAGGCTATCTAGTATTTTTAAGTCCTTCAAATGCCTTGATATAAAAGACACGTTATGTCTTTATGTCGTCGTGGTTCACATATCATTTAGCAAAGAGTAACACGACAATATCACCTACTTTGTGTGAGGACTGTAGCACCCTGACAGTTTAAGTTTGCTGCTGAATGCTAATGAAATTAACCCATGACCAAAACGTTCACTGTAATATTTCTGAGTTAGTTAGCATCTTAGCAGGTTTATGGTACAAAAGAAAGTCCCAATGGGAGTAAAATTAATCTTTACACATCTGTTTGTATTTATATTCTATGCGTCAGTGAGCCAGTAGCACACCACAGCTAGTATAAAGGGATTAAGTTTACAGGTCCTGCCTGGTACCTGTAACGTCTTCCTCTGAACTTTATTAAGCAGTTATTTGAGTACTTCTGTGTACTGTAAAAGTTTTATCTTTAACTTATATTCAGGTTTTGCCACCCTAACATTAACTAACAATTCTTGGTAGGGTGTTTGTCTTGATTTACACGAGCTAAACTGTCACTAACGTTAGCTAGCTAATTAGCCTTTTGGCTAAAACATTCCTGTGTCCCAAACGTTGCTGCAGTCAAACATCCGCACCTTCGCATACCTTCTCTGTTGGAGTGAGGCTGTCCTTGGAGAAAACAAAACACGCTCCAGTGCTAGGTGAGGTTAAATTCCTGTAAATGTTCCAGTCGACGGACCACCGTGTGAAACTAGCTGTGTACTTATCAGGCTTGTCAGATTAGCGGCGTTCCCGTTTGTCCTGTCCTTCCCTCGCCGGTGTGCTAATCCACAGCAGCGCTCGATCCCATGAACTCACAACTTCAACCACCTTAAGACAAAGATCGTCTATTGTTACGATACATCACTCTACCCCCACCTCACTCACACACAAAAGAAACTCGAACCCGCTTTCCGGTCGCTAGACAACCTCGAGTAAATTTTGACGTTACCATAGCGACTAGAAAACATACTGTTTTATTTTACCGTTAATGTAACTGTTGTTTATGAATGTAGAAGCAACTATAACTTTGATTATCAATCAAAATTACCCATCTGTTATGTTTAGTTAGCATTTCCCTTAGACCATTAAAACAGTAAGTTCAGTGTTTGCGATGAGTGAAAACACGGTCAGAGTGAGATCTCTTGGCTGTTTTGTACTCCATGGTCAAGCCCTCAGGTGTTCGGAACGAACAGGAAATCAGCGCCACCTGGCGACAAAGTGACGAAACTACAACTATACGGCAAGATAAAAACTTCACAAAAGCTGTGGAAATTTAAAATCCGAAGCGGGAAATTTGTACAGGCCAGATAAAAACACTGAACACTAAGTTGCTGCTGTTTCAGAACAACTGGATGGCGCAGAGTAATTTTAATCATTGTTAATTTTTGTAGCCTACTTGTAAAAGCTCTTACAAACATCTTAGCATCAAAATATAGTAAAAGTACCAAAAGTGAAATTAGTCATTTTACAGACCGGCCTATTTCAGATCAATATATACAGCATTCTATAATTAGGTTATGATTATTGGTGATGTACTTACACATGGTACACTATGATACCAGTCCTGATCTGATATTTGTTTTACAGGTTTTCTCCACTAGTGTGAGATAATTCTGATAAGTGTTCTGAGAGTGTAAATTTTGGCAATACAATCACCACAGCGTTCAGTAATTTCTGGTTATTTTCACACAGGTATCACCTTGGAACATGGTTCACAAAACAGTTACCAGTAACCAAGGTGCAGTTCAGAATTAAATGACACAATATTTTAAATCTTGTTCACACTGAAAAGAAATGTCGCTGTAGAGTTGACTCATTCATACACTTATGGCTCTATAATCAGTATGAAGTTGCATGTAAAGGGACACAGGGTGTTTCCCAAAGTAAAGAAGTTGTGTCACATGTGCAGTTGACCAACCTGGTTATAGTGTCACACTGAACAATGTAATGTTCCATCAGACTCCAAACCAACACAACTGACAGACATCTGTCTTATCTCAGGGTTTGGCTAGAAAGAGGAACAGCTGTGATGGAGATGAATGTTTACAACCTGTAAATGACTGGAGCAGTAAACAGATAGCCTAAGATGGGACTGAATTTTAATTTTTCTTTTAACTCCTTAGCTGACTGCAGGTTTGAACATGTGATTTGATGCTGATTTATTAAAAAAGAGGATTGTTGGTCTTTTTGCTTTCTTGACTGAGTTTATTACTCCCCCCCCCCCCCTTTTTTTTTTGGAACACCAACTATGTGATTTTTAATGACTGCATGGAGAGTTATGAGAACATACCATTTGGAGCGTTTTGCCAGTGATAACGTGGTTTTTCTATCAGCTATTATCAAATCCAGGCTTTGTTTCTAACGCCGCATCAAACAACAAAGCATTTACATAAAATGTTACTGTCAGACAATTTATTTTTACTGTCATCCTGGACCTTCCCTGATATTTTTAATTTTCATGATCCCACAGATGTCCATCTGCCTGACATGATAAAATGTTTGCCCAAGGGCGAAACCAACATTTAACCCCAACATTGTGTGTTGCAATAATACAAAAAAGATTTTGTGGATAAGTTCTCTGACTTTTTGACTGAAATTTTAGGCAAATATGGCGGGGCATTTATCATTGGGTATTTTAATATTCACGCACGCTCCCTCCCTTCTTGTTTTTAAATCTAACTTATTTTTATTGTCAGGCTTTCCCTGATCATCAGCATTTGTAGTTTTTATTGCAATATATTGTGTTTTGCTGAGCTTTTATATTTTTAATGATATTTACATTTTATTTTTAGATGCCATTTTATCTTTGTTCAGCCCTTTGGCCAAAGTTTTGCTGTTTTAAATGTGCTCTCTATATATATAAAATTATAACTGATCAGCAAGCATAATTGCACCTTATGAAGCCTTTATAAGTAGTGGACTCTCAGAGTGGTCGATTTAATTGGAACTTAAGGGTCTAATCAACACTATGAAAAAGTCCCAGACCAAAAGTATTGCCAATATTAATGAGAAATAGAACGTTTCCACTAGAGGAACAGTATAAAAACTACACTGCACCATGGCTTGTAACTTACTTGGCTCTCCTTATCAAAACAATTAAGAGGTTTTAACCGAATGCAAAAAGGACTGAGAGATGTTAAGTGTTTTCACATAATTATTTAATCACACATACATTTACATCATGCAGTCAATCAAAACTGTGATCGCATTAACTTTCCTTCTCTGTCCATATTAGAGCCCTGCTATTTGTGCCCCAGTTCTCCAGGAATGATCCAGTACCTTGTCCACTGATGGAGCCCCAAACCATCCTTTAAAAACTAACTATTACACAGTAGTAAATTAAAAAAATATTGTTTTTTAAATTATGAATAATGAAAAATTCAATTAACCACCACAAATAATCTTTGCTAGTTTTATTTACAATTTTTTCCCCATTTCATGTCCAGTTCCAGTGGAAGGTCAAAGGATAAACATATTAAGGTCCATGCTGCAGTCTTCAATAACCTAGAAGATTAAACTCATCTCGACAGACACCCAACACCATCCTGTCATAGATACGTGAGAGCTTCTCCTTCTGGCAGCTTGCAGAAAGTAGTGATTACTAATTAAATCAACAAACAGTTTGATTCATAGGGCTTTGGAAACGTTTCCTCCAGTCAAAAACAGCCATGTATGGAGTGTTCTTCTGAGTGCAGATATCGTGAAGTGCTATTAAATCCAAGCTTTCTAGACAACAGGTTTTAGAAAAAGCCAAAGTGCAATCAACCTTCTCAAGCTAATTTTTCCACTAGTCTCAGCCAAAAATGTTTTTTCCCCCTCTACAGAGGTTTCTTTAATCTGTCTGTCTAAAAAGCTAAAACCCGATACTAAAAACTTTTTCCTCACATTCTAATTTAAATATTCACTACTGTACCAGACAGTTGGGTTTCAACCTTCATGTCATTTACAGGGAGTTCACTGCCCAGTATGATAGCAGGTACCCATTTATCTTTGATTATTGGATGAAAACCTCTCGTCTCATGTTTGAGCTTTTCAGAAAGGACAAGGAAAGAAGCCTTCATGAGAAAACACACAAAGTGAGTGAAAGTGAAGCAAACAGAGAAGAGGACAGGACTCTGGACTTGGGACTTCAAATCACATGATTACCACTGCTTACACACCTGATCACTCCCCCCAGTCAACCTTTATACAGTGTAGTTTACAGTATACTCCACTTGCACAGGATCCTAGTGTTCTCATGCTGGGGCTAGAACAAGGTCTTTGCCAATGCACTGGGGCTTTGCAGGGTGAAAAAGTGGGCAAACAACATTAGATCAAATACAACAAAACAAAATAAATCCTACACCCCTGACTACATTTAGTTAAATAAACCCTTCTCCAGATGCTGACAGAAGATTGTTGTGCGAATAAAGACCCTGCTCTCCTGACTGGCTGATCAGAGGCAAAGGTCTGACCCACTGAATGACACCTCTGCCTGCCATTCCCCTACAAATATGCATCTACACAAACAATGAAAGAGATACAGTACATAAAATCCAGCAAAACACATTGGTTTCTGCAAATTTACAACCAAAAGGGAACATACATTTACAGGTATTAAATCTATAAAGAAATGACAAAAAAAGGTTGTGGGAGGGGAGACAACTTCAAACATAAAGAAGCGAGGCAACCTTATAAGGAAATCATGATGGCAGGAATCCAACAGCTCATGATAGGCCAGGTTAACAAGTAAACAACAAAACCATCCTGAATATGTGAAGGGATATGAGCAAGTGACAGCGACCCAGCTAGGACAGGACAAGCATTGCTATCTCATTCTCTACGCCTGCAGTCTATATGCTCCAATGTGCAGATATAAATAGCATCCATTAACACGGCATTATTAACCACTGAGAGGAGTAAAAACAGTACATTTAACTACTTAGCATAGGCTATGCTAAAAGGTGGAAGTCTGTTGTGTTAACTGGATCATTCTCTTCCTTGTTCTTCCTTCTACATTCTTTACATCCTTCTCTTGAAGTCACCAATAATGAATATAGGTTTTATTTTAACTTGATGATAAAAACAATTGGCCTCCACAGGTATTTAGTTAAATACATCTACAGTACACTGTTGCACACGTCTTGGCCTTTTATTTTTTTTTATCCTTCTGTTTAGCCGCTCCCTGATGATGACTTAGCTGTCTCCGCAGCGAGGCGTGCACACTGTACAGCAGTGCCAATTTTACATCTGTACAACAAGACTGGACAGAACAGTAGTGCTCGACGCCACCTAGTCAATTCAAAGCCATATAAGGTTTTTTTTTTGGAGTTTTTTTTCCCCTTAAAGAAGCATGTAAAAACTATCCCAAGAAAAATGTGGTTAACAACCAGTCATAGTAATGATGAAATGTACAGAGGTTAGCCTATAAGGTCAAGCTATTTCTCCAGGTAGGGTCTCCATTTTTGTTTTAGGTATTTGCTTTAAATCTATTTTTTTTTCCCCCTTCGGATCTCGCTACCGTTACATTCAGCTCGGCACAGTGCAGAACTACTCGCACGACCACGACAGGTGACGACATATTGTGCAAAACAAACTCAAAACCGAAGCTACACATTCGAGTCACGTGTGGTGACGCTCACTGAGGCTGTACTCAAGACTGTGTTTGGTTCAGTGGAGAAGAATATTATCTCGCCTTTGTAAATTAAATGTCTTTTTTAATATATCCAGTAAGAGGAAAAGAGAAACGTCATAATTGGGAATATGGGTGGAGGTGGTGGGGGAGTGGAGCTGTACAGGCCAGGAATATTTATTTATATATATATTTATAATTCAGAAACTCCTCCATAGCTCCAAAGCAGTGAAGAGGAGCCTGTTCGATGTAATGGAATGACAGGGTGTCAGGGTGGGGGGTGCTACCGGCTTCTTCTGTAGTGTCGGCATTGTATCCCCTGCTCTTCAGCTGCAGAAAACCAGAAAGAAATGATGCCGTTAGTTACAGGATTACTGTCTGTTGGGGCACAGAAGCCAAACATATCCGCAAATAAGGTAAATGCTCACTACTAAGAGGATTCCAAACGAGTTAAAGCGTGACTTAGGTTTCATTCTGTTTGCTCACTCAGTAATAAAAAAAAAAAATAAAAATAAACAGTTCAACAAAGAACAGCTGTTTGTTCTTATTTTATATTCATCTGTGTTACAGTATGTAATGGGGGAATCCACTTGTATACAACACAGAAACCTAACATAATTCAAAATCTTGGATCTTTCACATCACCAGACATCCCTCTTACAGTGGTAATGACACAGCTCCCTGAAAACACACAGTGGCAGTCCACTTACTTCTTGTCTGGCTTGCTGCCGCCTCCTCCCCTGATGGACACCGTCTGGCTGTTCTGGTAGAAGCCTCCGCGGTTGAAGTTGGGGTGGGTAGGAGATGCTACTGGCTGCTGCCCAGGCCGGATAGGTTTGGCTGGGGGCAGGTGGAAAAAGAGAGTGAGAATTGCTTATTTAACACTGGAAAGCTAATAGGTTATGCATCTCCCTCTTTCTCTGTCCTTTTGAATAACTCTGCTTTTGCTGGTGTTTCAGATTTGATGTGAATTGTTGACACTGATCCATTATTACCTTAACGTGAGCACAGCCACTCCTATAACTGGTTTAAAGACATTGTTGAGTGTAGCTAAAAGTAGCCTACAAAGAAACCTACAAAGTAAAACTGAAGAAAAGTCTTTTCAAGATCTTCTGTAAATGTAATTCTACAAAAATGCCTATTCCAACTGAGGAAAAAGTTAGCACACCCTCACATGTATGCCCTCTTAAAATGGCTCAAATCACACACAGGTATATCACACCAGGTGCACATAATTAGTAGATCGTTACTCAGCATTTTGAATGAGGCTTGCCCCATCTAAACCTCAAACATTTAGTTTGGTGTGCTCCTGACTGTTGAAGTGAGAGTGAGCACCATGGTGAGAGCAAAAGAGCTGTCAGAGGCCTTCAGAAAAAACATTGTAGCAGCCTGTGAGTCTGGTAAGGGATTTAAAAAGATTTCAAGATTTTGAAATCAGCCATTCCACTGTCTGGAAGATAGTCTACAAGTGGAGGGCTTTCAAAACTGCCAACATGCCCAGGTCTGGTACAAACCATGACACTTCCACCTCCATGCTTCACAGTTGGTATGAGGTTCTTTTCCTGGAATGCTGTGTTTGGTTTACGCCAAACATGTCCTCTGCTCTGGTGTCCAAATAATTCAATTTTGGACTCATCTGTCCAACGAACATTATTCCAGAAGTCCTGGTCTTTGTCAACATTCTCTCTGGCAAATGTCAGTCTGGCCTTGATGTTTCTCTTAGAGAGCAAAGGTTTCCTCCTTGCACGCCTCCCATGCAAGTTAAACTTGTGCAGTCTCTTTCTGATTGTAGAGGCATGCACTTCTACATCAACAGTAGCCAGAGCCTGCTGTAGGTCTCGAGATGACATTTTAGGGTTTTTGGAGACCTCTTTTAGCATCTTGCGGTCTGCTCTTGGTGTGAACTTGCTGGGGCGACCAGACCTTGGCATGTTGGCAGTTGTTTTGAAAGCCCTCCACTTGTAGACTATCTTCCGGACAGTGGAATGGCTGATTTCAAAATCTTTTGAGATCTTTTTAAATCCTTTACCAGACTCATAGGCTGCTACAATGTTTTTTCTGAAGGCCTCTGACAGCTCTTTTGCTCTCACCATGGTGCTCACTCTCACTTCAACAGTCAGGAGCACACCAAACTAAATGTTTGAGGTTTAGATGGGGCAAGCCTCATTCAAAATGCTGAGTAACGATCTACTAATTATGTGCACCTGGTGTGATATACCTGTGTGTGATTTGAGCCATTTTAAGAGGGCATACATGTGAGGGTGTGCTAACTTTTTCCTCAGTTAGAATAGGTATTTTTGTAAAATTACATTTACAGAAGATCTTGAAAAGACTTTTCTTCAGTTTTACTTGTTTAGTTGTATTACTTTAATCTCTCTGTATTGTTAAAATTGAGATTAAATAACCATATATTAAAACGTTACAAAATACACATGCTTTCAAAGGGTGTCCTAATTTTTTCACATGACTGTACTTACAGTGGGGAAAATAAGTATTTGATACACCGCCGATTTTTCAAGTTTTCCCACTTACAGAGAATGGACAGATCTGTAATTTTCATCATAGGTACACCTCAACTTGTGAGAGACAGAATCTACAAAAAATTTCAGAAATTCACAGTTAGATTTTTAAATAACTTATTTCCATTTTATTGCATGAACTGAGTATTTGATCACCTACCAACCAGCAAGAATTCTGGTTCTCACAGACCTGTTAATTTGTCTTTAAGAAGCCCTCCTATCTTCCACTCATTGCCTGTATTAATTGCACCTGTTTGAACTCGTTACCTGTATAAAAGACTCCTGTCCACACTATCAATTCAAGATGACTGTCAATCTCCCTCAGGCTGGGGCTCCATGCAAGATCTCGCCTCGTGGAGTATCAATGATCCTGAGAAAGGTGAGGGATCGGCCTAGAACTACACGGGAGGAACTGGTCAATGACCTGAAGAGAGCTGGGACCGCAGTCTCAACGGTTACCATTAGTAACACACTACACCATCATGGCTTAAAATCCTGCAGCACACGCAAAGTCTCTCTGCTCAAGGCAGCACATGTCCAGGCCCGTCTGAAGTTTGCCAAAGACCATCTGGATGATCCAGAGGAGGCATGGGAGAAAGTCATGTGGTCAGATGAGACCAAAATGAAACTTTTTGGTATAAACTCCACTCGCAGTGTTTGGAGGAAGAAGAAGGATGAGTACAATCCCAAGAACACCATCCCAACCTTGAAGCATGGGGGTGGAAACGTCATGTTTTGGGGGTGCTTTTCTGCAAAGGGGACAGGACGACTGCACCGTATTGAGGAGAGGATGGATGGGGCCATGTATCGTGAGATTTTGGGCAACAACCTCCTTCCCTCAGTCAGAGCATTGAAGATGGGTCTTGGCTGGGTCTTCCAGCATGACAATGACCCCAAACACACAGCCAGGGCAACTAAGGGGTGGCTCTGTAAGAAGCATTTCAAGGTCCTGGAGTGGCCTAACCAGTCTCCAGACCTGAACCCAATAGAAAATCTATGGAGGGAGCTGAAACTCCGTGTTGCCCAGCAACAGCCCCAAAACCTGGAAGATCTGGAGAAGACCTGTATGGAGGAGTGGGCCAAAATCCCTGCTGCAGTGTGTGCAAACCTGGTCAAGAACTACAGGAAACGTCTGACCTCTGTAATTGTAAACAAAGGTTTCGGTACCAAATATTAAGTTCTATTTTTCTATTGTATCAAATACTTATTTCATGCAATAAAATGGAAATAAATTATTTAAAAATCTAACAATGTGATTTTTGGGAATTTTTTTTGTAGATTCTGTCTCTCACAGTTGAGGTGTACCTACGATGAAAATTACAGATCTGTTCATTCTCTGTAAGTGGGAAAACTTGAAAAATCAGCAGTGTATCAAATACTTATTTTCCTCACTGTATATTTAGGTAAATATGGAACCTACCAACCACAGAGGAGTGGTGTGCCACAAAAAACTACACAGACTGCAGATGTGTTTCCAACAATCCCTACTGACCAATCTGGGCTGAGTGTCCCCTCCGAGCCATGTTCTTGGCCCTGACAGCCTCCTTGATGCGGTCCACCTCCTGCTGGTAGCGCTTGCGATCACGGGCAGCGTTCTCCTTGGCCTCCTTCAGAGCCGTTTCCAGGGCCTTGACCCGCTCGGCTGTAGCACGAAGACGCTTTTCCAGTTTAGGAAGCTCACAGCGCAGGTCTGCGTTGTCACGCACAAGCTGCAGGACAGTTTACACAGATTTAAAATCATTTCTTTCATTTGCATTTTCAAATGTTTACCAGCAAAAAAATACAGAGTGAAGGGCATCATGGTCAAACCAAGGTAACAACAGAAAGAAACATGATCAGACTGAACAGAAAGGACAGTGTAAAATCCTAAAAGGACAATAATCATGTTTAAAATGTTCCTGGATGTGTTTGTTGAACCCCTACCTGTTTGTGAACCTTGGTGAGCTGCTCAAGATTGTTCTCAAGAAAGGAGATTTTCTGTTTCTGTGCAGCGCTGCCACCTGTGTCGTCCGAGTCCATCTCAGCACTCTGCAAAAAAACACACATATTACAAAAAATGAAAAAGCAGACTGGCTTATGATGACAGCTCAATACACTTCAGTCTTCCTCACATTCGCTACTATGGTATACTTATTGTAAATTTAAATAAAACTGAGGGTCGGTTTTGGTGAGCTCTGTTTTTGCAAATCAAAGTCTCCACAGTGGAACCAACAGACCACCAACCATCAATTAAAATGAGGTTAACCTTTTTCACTCTGGTGGCCAAGTCCTGGACAAAGAGCTTCCTCAGGTTATGCAGGGTCTGCAGCTCCTTGGCCTGGAGTGGGAAAGAACAAGCTGATTTTAAATTCATGTACAAGTCTTTAAACAAGTTTAACATGAACATACACTCCAGCATAGAAATGCGACTCACTGTTTTATAAACCACAAACCAAAAATGAAGGCTGTTGTTCTTTATAGCTGCTTGCATATCTATGTATCAGTGTCTTTAATCATCAGATAATTTAGATGGACTCACCACTGTCTCTTCAAGACCCTTCAGGTCTTGTCTAGCCTGCTCCCTTCTGTCCTGCATCACCCTGAACAATAACAAAAACAACAAACCCAGTTAAAACTTAAGAAAAAAAGACAAGACAATGCTGCTGGTTTTTTTTTACAACTAACAATACATGAATGTTGACATGTGCTTGGTTTTCATTACATACTGTAAATGTTGTATGATAAGTGGCTACATGTTTACTGCCTCTGATCAGTGATTTAAAGCATATGGAGTCATCAGGTGAAAACTGTGACCAACTGACAATAGATTGGCCATTTGTGTGTGTGTGTGTGTGTGTGTGTGTGTGTGTGTGTGTGTGTGTGTGTGTGTGTGACATACGTAAGCTCATGCAGCTTGCGGCTCTTCTCTTGGTCAGTAGATTTAAGTTTCTCATGCTCCACTCTGAGCCTCTCCTGCTCCAGCATGATCTTCTGGTTCAGACTGGAAGTAACACAATAATACTGTTTATATGACTGATGGTCAAAGAACTGTCAATGTGAGGCCTACAGTGCTAAATGTCTCCGACTGGTATAACGCTGCACAGCATTTTTCATGCTGCGTTTATTCTCACAACTCTGCCGCCCACAGTCACGCTTTTTAGTCAACAGGCTAATTTTTTTTTTTATCTTCCCGGGGCTTTGGCTCTGCTGTGGAAATCCAAATCACAATGCGCTTGAGTGACTTTTGGCACATGAAACGTTACTGGACTTTAGTTACAGGAGTTGGTCCAGTGGAAATGCACCTTTAAACATCTGGTGCTTTCATCTCTTTACATGAAACTACAGACAGAAATTCAAGCCTTACTCCTGCAGCTCAGTAATGAGTTTCTCCTTGTTGTCCAGTTCATCTCTCAGGCTGCTGATCTGCTTCTGATGAGCTTCACGGTGAGAGTGGATCTGCTTCTCCACTGCTTCCTGAACACAAACACAAAATTCACATAACCTTCATTTGATAGAATACGTTTCAAAACTGTGAAAGCCCCAATGCTGGGATTCAGTGATTGACTTTACGGAGACTATAATCTCATGAGAAGCTAAATTCAACAGTGTCAGAATTTCTGAATCAACTTCCTCTCCCCTCCTCCCAAAGCAGCCCTGTCCACTTGTGTCTGCCGTTTAGTGAGGCAGAGGAACATACCTTGACTTCATTGGCAGTCTGGACCTCATTCTCTTTCTCCATAGCATGGACTTTCTCTGTAAAATAAAAACATATGATTCACTGTCATGAGACTAAAATAGAGGAATAAACACAGTGATATTTGTTTTTTTTTCCTGAAAACTATGACAGTCAGGATTTGGAATTTATTGTCTGTCAAACCAGTTCTAGTGTTGCTTATTGATTCTGGTTATAAGTCAAATCTTCAATCTGGCTTCAGCCATGAAAAGAAGAGAAGGCAAAATTTTCTGAAAGCAAAAACCAAATTTACTTTTTTGTAGATTCAGACCTTCACAGCAGATTCCCACTGATCTTTTAGCATGTTCCACTATATTGTAAACACTGTATAGTAAAGCCATACTTTAAACGGCTGGAACTGAAAAGTGTTTCTTAAAGCCTCAGCTCTTGGGAACCAGTTCCAATTCAGAACCAGTTCTTGAAACTTAGTTCTTCAAGCTGGATAAGTACATTGAGGTTAAAGTCCAGAGAAGCTACTGGACTTTTTTTTCTACAGGTCCTGTGAGGATTAACTGTCTCCAACATAAGCATTGAAGCTGAGTTAAAGGGAGTGCTGTGTCACTGCTGTCTCTCTTGCTCTGTTCTCAAACAGTGGCATACCCTGAGCACTGAGCTTGACAAGTTCTTCATTGAGAGAGTCCACATTCTCCTCCAGCTGCCTCTTTTTCTGTTCCACATTCTGCAGGTACTCAGTCAGGGACTTGATTTTAGCCTCATGCTGGAGACAAAGGACATAATATAAGAGGTTACACAGAGTAGAGCCAAGAGTCATGGTGGCTATGGTTTGTATCATGAAGTGATTTTGAAGGATGCTGCTGATGTTTGTCAACTCAAACTGCCAACATGTCCAGTCACAGAATGGTTAGTAGTTAGTTTCTGCATACCTGCGAGATACGCAGCTGGCAAGCAGCCAGCTCCTTCTCATTCTCATCCATCTTCTTGTTGCTCTCTGACTGGGTGCTCTCCAGCTGCTTGCAGCGTTTCACCATGCTCTTCACCTCTGACTTCATCTTACTGATATAGAGACGAGCCACCGTGAACTCCTCGTCTATGAGCCCGCTACCACCATCGTGTTGCTAGAAAGACCAAACATAGAAAGGAGGAAGAGAGGGATCAATAAAATTGTAAACTGGGAAATTGCACTGGTCCTGTGGCCAGTGTTACTATGTTAACAGAGCAGAAACCAACTCAACACCTTGATATCATTGCTGCCCACTGCAATGCCAATCTCGGTTAAATCTTTGAGCAGTGACGACATCATCTCAGTCACCCTCTTCTTCTGGTGGTTGGACATCTCCTTCAGCTTTTGGAGCTCAGAGTCCAGAGATGATAGGATGGACTGCATGAAAAGAGAGCATGTTTTCAAAACGGAACAAAACAGCAACAGAAAATGAAACTGTATTGTGAGAGCAGAGAACAGTGTGCAGACTCTACCACTCTATGTTTTCACACATACAAAATGATCATCAAGCTACCTTTTATATTTCATTCTAATACAGAACTGAGACAGTGCAAATCTAACTCTACTAAAGGCACTTCATGGTACTTTTCACCTTGTACAGTAAAGAACAAATTTTAAACGGTGAAAAAAAAGATAATAAAGCAGCAATAAATATGTGCATGTGTGTTTTGAGTGCATGCGTCAGCAGTTTGCTTTCTCCCTGCAGGCTGTGCGAGTTTAATCAGTGTTGCGCTGAATATTAATACAACCAAAATAAAAGACAAATAAGAGTCATAAGCATCACAGTGACTGGGCATGCTGATATCTGTCCCTGGCTCACCGATTTCTGACTGAGCTCCTCGCTAATAGACTCAAACTCCTTGGTCTTATCCTCGGCCTCCTGGCTCTTCTGGTCATAGTTGACGGCCAGCTCCTCCAGAGCCTGCAGCACCTCCTTCACTTCCTCCTTCTCATGATCACGGCGGGAGGAAGCTATAAGCTGCAAATGAGGGAGGGAAGTGTAATTATACCATTTGATTTCAAACATGTTAGGGCGACTGTAACTGTTCAGTGTTAATATGGACAAATAAGAAATGTTCATGTTTATTTGACTCATTATCAAACACACAAAATAACAGCTCATCTTTGTCAAATCCACAATGAGACCTCGAAGATCATACGTTTATGGTGACTAATTACCTCCTCCTGGTCCAACATCTGCTGCTTCAGCTTCTCTGCCAGTTGGCTCTGCTGGTTGATCTCCTCATCCTGCAAAATGAAAAGACAAAAACAGTATTAGCAGTCACACAAAGCAGCACAGGTCTCACTGTCGACAAACAATAAATGGTAAAGGGTAAACAGGTAAAACACACATTACAAACATCTAACCTAATTTAGCCTTATATGATATTATTTAGGAATTCATTGAGCAAAGAGCATCTGCTATGTGTAAATCCATTTAATTGGAATTATGCCATGCATTTTTAATTGTAGCCAATTTTGTATTAATACTAACTTAACCAAGAGTCATTTATATTAAGCAAACATTGTATCTTAGCATTCAGACTTACACCCAGGCTGCTCCCTCACCTTATCATCCAGCTGTTTGTAAAGCTTGGCCAGCTCAGCCTCACACTTGTCCTTCTCCACATCAGTGAGGCGAACACCAGGCACATTGGGTGTGGATGCCGGCTTGTCATTGAGCATGTTGTCCAGGGCCAGCACCTCAGCGTTGGCCTTCTCCTTGTCAAACTGCTCCTCTGCCGGCACAGTCTCACCTGAGGTAGGACAAAGCATTTATTATGACTACTATGTTTCAAGTGCGTGGACATAAGGTGAAGCCATCATATCAACACAAAGGTGGCCGAGTTTAAAGTGAGACAGCTACAGCCTCACCATTCCTCCATCGGTTGAGCTCATTCTCCAGCCAGTTGATGGTGTTCCTCAACGTCTTATTCTTCTCTTTCTCCCTCTCGTACTTGTGCTTCCACTGCTCTGCTGTCAGCTCGATGTTCACTGTCACAGTGTTCTTGATGGTCTTGGCTCTGAGTGGGGGAAAAAAAACAAACAAAAAAACATTCCTTCTACTGAAAGAACTCATTACATAAAGACTGGACATTTTAAAACTCAAATATAAATGATAAATAAGACAAAGGTATCTACATGACAAACTAAAGAAAACACAGAGAGCAGTATGACTTTTTTTTTTTTTTTACTGGCCAACCAACCTTTGTCCAAACAGGAGAGTGGATTTGGTTTCAGCCTCATTATAGGAAGAAGGCGAGCAGCAGATAACGATGGTAGTTCGACAGTTCCCGCCCAGTGAGTCCTGCAGGATACGAGTCATCTTGCTGTCTCGGTATGGGATGTATGCCTGACAAACACATACAAATATATACAGAAAATTTAACAAGAAAAATACAATATGTAAATGAACTGTAATGGATTTTGGAATAATTCAGAGAATGCAGAATCTGATAAAAGCTTTAGAATTTCTCTTCAACAGAATTGCTGACAAAGTAGAAACCACGACCAAGATATAAAACATGTCCAACAAAACCATTCAGGGACGGACCACTTCCCCTGAAATACAGGCCACATAATCAATCAATTAAAAACTCTGGAAAGAAGGAGCAATTTCACAAAGCAAATGCAACTAAACTGACTATGAGAGAAGATGTGGCCAATAGCAATAGACGACTGATCAGATGGCCAATTAATCAGACCAATTTTTGGCATTTTTAGATAACTGGCTCAGCTGATGTTTGTGCTCACAAGGCCAATTAAGTTAATCAAATTTGTTATTATTCTCATTTGCTATTATTAAATTTCTATATTTTATCTGCCGCCCCATTCACTGGCCTCCCCGCTTTTCAAAGATGGGCACCGACCATCACAAAACCCACACTGGTCAACCGCTAGTGGCTAACACCTTAATTTAACAATTTCCTGTGGGAAACCCTGCAATTATGGATCAATAAGAAGAAAAACAACACCAAAGCAAAGTGTGGTCTTCTCTAAACTGGGATAACGCACATGTGGCTGCTGTTCTGAAACCAAGGAAGAGGCCTGAGGTTTCACCAACACTAAGCCAACAGGATGTGATGACTTCAGTTACATGTCTCATGACTGCAGTAGAGTTAGATGCCAGTAAAAAGATTGATTTGATTTATTCTTTCAAGCATATAAAGACAGTTGATATGTCAACACACATAATTTTACACATATCCAACAAATGCTAATCCAATATCAATGTGTTTATACCTAGTACATGCTTGAATGGAGTAGGAAGAAGTCAGACTTATCCAGTCCTACCCCATGACATCATCTTACCATCATTGGTTTGCAAGCAGCATCTCTACATAAATAATTCTCTTCTACACCACACAAGTAAAATACTAAAAAATTATAGGCTGGGGCTGGAGTGTTAACATTCTTACATAATTACATTCTTAAATAATAAGATAACTACAGAGCTCAATGTTGTTATTATTATTATTGATATAAATGGCTGAACTGCAGCAGTCTGCTATAAATATTCAGGCACCACTATGCTCAGATGGAAATGAGACATCTCTGGACAATAGCTCATTTGTTCTGGATCATCACAGACACAGAAGCAGCTGCCCGCTCCAGGTTGTTCACAGAGGGAAGGGGCAATGGAACAAGCCAGTCACTGATTAGTGAAAAAATGTGAAGCGGGGGGCGGGAGGTGGGGGACTACATGATTGCATGCGCTTAACATTACATTTGCTCTATATTCTCTAAGTGTTGCTGGACTTTTTGCCTTTCCAGTTTGTTTTTCCCTTGTTCTATGCATCTTGGCAGTCGATGAGGCTGTGCCAGAAATTTATGCTGTGCCTTAAAATGGTACTTTCACAGTGAAATTACTGACAAATGACAAATGTGGTGGTTTCCCTGATGCACACCTGGCTCTTGGCTGTGAGACTGGTAAACAGTACAGACTTCACTTCTGTCTGCTACATTGACACTAATAACTGAAAACCCAAAATACTATAAAACATTCAGGGAAACACCATCGCCAGAGGTTAGAACAGATCTAACACTGGTTGTGCTGAAAAAGTCGAATCTGGACTCATTATGTTCTGTAATACAGACTAACGCTTAACTGTGTGATATTATCGATTAGCAAAACCATTGACCTCAACAGACAATTAAATTTTACTTACAGAGCAATTTAAACAACCAAAACAAACAGAAGAACATACTCAACATATGGATTTCTGTCAGCAGAGGTAGAACAGTTTTAGTATACAACAACCAGGCATTCACTCTGTGCTACTGAAGCATAATTACTGACCGTTCCTTCAGCCAGAGCAGAGATGACGTTTCCCAGGGACGACAGAGACTTGTTGATGTTCTTGGCCTCATCCAGCACAGCTCCTTCTGCCCCGGTCTTACTGACCTGAAATTTACAAGCATGGTAAGCTCAGGAGGAGGCGATGCAGCCCAAAGGTGAAAACAAAGAATGGACTCCAATCTGAGCCTGACCTAAATAAATTACAGGCAGACAATACAAAGAAAATGGCTACTGATACTTTATTATAAAACAACAAATAAGCCAAATTCTTTAAAACTGTAGCAATAGGTTTAACAAACAGTTTAGGCTTCCTGTGATTCTCTATACCTTTTCACTACCAGCCAGATCCACCAGGTAGAGCTTCCCGCTCAGTTTCTGTTCTGTCTGAGTGTTCTCCTGTTTGACATTTATCAGGAAGATACTGTGACTCCTGGAGCTGTGCTCGTTCATGTCTGCCGAAGAATTAACACATGTGGTCAAACGGTATCAACCTCAAGTGCAAGAAGCCCAGACTCTGGGTTTATGACACAGACTGTTGGATAAGAACAGGACAGCATCTTACTTGTAACTGCTACATGTCTGTTAGATTTGCCTTCATCAATTGTATCCATGACCTCATCTGGGCTGCAGACAAATCTCTCAGTGCAGCCCTTAAAACAATAAAAACAGAACATGAGGTTAGATTATTGGCCTACTCGAACAGGTTTTTTTCTAGATCTTTAACATCTGACAGGAAGTTAGGGCTCACCTTGACATAGGGTACTCTGTTTTTGTCTTCATGAACTGACAAATTGGTCTTTGACACTAAAGTAAAGAAAAGAAAGTGTCAGGGACACGGACTTTGCAATATAAAATGTTAAGACTGTAATGGCATTTTTCAGTATATCCATTTATATTGTTAATTTACATATTAAACTATAGTCTGCTAACAATTGTGGTAACTAACTGTGGTGACCTTTCACACACTGGACAAGTGAACTCTTGTTTTCTGCTGACACACTGAATGCCTAAGGTATCTTTGTTTGCTGCAAGAAGCTACTGTAAATATCCGCAAGCATTGAAAGTATCTCGTGAACCTTTTGGAAATCTGAAACTCTTTGAATACAGATGCATAATTGTTCTCAGTGTACCCTCCTTTTGTGTGACGTTATCATCAGCTTTATACTGAACTGAATCTCCCTTTATTCTTTGAGTCTCTGTAACATGCATCCTGGTGTGCTGTTGTAGGCAACTCCTTTCTGCAGAAATAAATCAACCTGAAGACATATCCATTCTCAGATCTCTTTATTTCTCACTCACTGCTGGTTGTTCATTATTACAAAGGAAATACCATTTTTCCTTAACAAGACATGATTTCCCAGGGCATACTAATATTTACTGCTGTCTTTGCTTCATTTCTACCACTGGTTTGGGATGATTTTTGAACACATTTCAAAAACTTCAATGGCTCCCATCATGTCTGCAGATGCTCATTTTTCTTTTTTTTTTTTTTTTTGCAGGTTTTAGCAGCTCGTTATGTCCGCCTGTTACCACTGTCTGGTACAATTAAGAGAAATGAGAGGTTCAGTGTTTACACCACCATCACAAGCACTTACCATCCAAAAGGTCCCGGATCTTGTCTAGGTAAATTTCAAAATATGAAACCTTTGAACGGAGAAATGAACAGAAAATGAAACTCACTAATTTGCAATGCAAGATGTGGAGAACACAAAATTCAAAGACACTATCAATTCATAACCATAACACGAGACCAACAGGGAAAAAACATCTCAATGTGAAACAAAGAAAAGGAAAAAATATCAATGGTGTTTTCAGCCCTACTTATAATATTTCTTTCTACTCTTAATTTTATTCTTTTCAGGATTAGCTGAATAACTCATCTCTAAGCCTCTCACAGATTCAAATAGCTACACGGGTTTCGCCCAGACAGTCAGCTCAAATCTGACATTTTCATGTGGTTAAAGCAAGTTAAGTCTACATAAAACACTCCAAATTAAACTACATCAAGAAGAGTGTGCGCCACCACTTTTACATTTCATTATTTCTCTCATTCCCAACACAACAAGCATTGAACACTGTGTGTTGCAATGTACGAGCAGAGATCAACAAACGCAGCTAGGAAATATGACAACAGTGGCACTGTGTAACTTGTTATATACTACCCTCCTGCCTCGCTAATTATAGTACAGGAAAACTGCAAAACTGAAAGTAAGCAGCCATAATTTTGGCCATACTTGCAGTATATCATTACCTGAGGCTAGAATTCAAGATTAAAATTGCACTTCCTATTCAACAAATGTGGCACATGTCAACAGCTCGACCCCTTATACCGACTTACTTTGATATGAAACTCCAGGTTTTCGTCCATGGAATAGATGTAGTTGAAGATATCTTGCACTATCCTGGGGATGATGCCCATTGCATCTGTGTCATGGAGATTCCCCTATAAACAGGAAGAAATCACATAATGTATAAAGTGAAACTTTTTCATTCAAACACAATATGCACTTCATTTGAAAATAAACATTTATAAGAAGTAATCCTTACCTCCATGGTGTGTGTTTTTCCAGATGATGTCTGTCCATATGCAAAAATTGTTCCATTGTATCCCTCAAGAACATCTGAAAGACACCAGACAGAACTTGTTGAGCTAAGGATTCAAAGAATTGCTGTATTTAAAATGAGATTTAAACAAGGCTGGGCTGATGTCTTTTTGCAGTGTACATGGCTCTACATAATAGGTCTGGTTTGTAAATACAAAAGTAAGACCTCACCTTTTACAATCTTCTGGGCACAGGCATTGTACACTTGTTCCTGTGTTGTGTTTGACTGAAACACTCTGTCAAACATGTATGGTTTGCCCTGGAACAAACAAAAGGAGAGCGAGAGAGCTCACCAGTACTGTGCAGCATCATTAAAATGATCTGATTTGTGTCTGCTATTTTCTTTTGCCAGTTATACATTCTAAATGTCCAGCAGTTTGTTTTAAATCAATATAGTGTGTTCAGCGATAGCAGTGCCAAAGACAAGAAATGGCCCTACAGATCTAACAACTACTTTTATTATCAGCGGTCCTTCTGACTATTTTTTGATTCATCAATTGATTGCTTTGGTTATATACCATCATAAAATAGTAGGGGTGTAATGATACACTTAGCTCACGAGACAATACACAATATTGTGTTCATGAGAATGAGATGATATTTTAACACTATTTTAAATAAATCTTCAATGATAAAAATATATGACTGGAAAATAGCCCTTTACCTGACTGAAAGACACACAATGACCTTCTATGCACTGCATTGACCAATCACGTATTGTACGGGGGATGGGGGGGGACGAGAAACAGGATTTGGGTGAACTTTTGTTTACCTTGTTAGAATGAGCATTCACTGCTATTCAACATTTGGTCCACAATTAACGGACCATAACAACACGCCATGCATTTGGAAATGTAAATGAAGCCACTCATGTCAACTTGTCACAACATGGCTGTTGTGTTTCTGCCAGACTAATGTGAACGCATCATCACACTCTGTCATACTGGCCTGGTTGTGTTATCTACTGTTATTGCGAGACAGCTTTTGCCTTGACGAGGAATAACGTCATGTCTTAATACTGCGAGATCTCACAGCACAGGATCTCAACACAGCCCTATAAAATACCCATTATAATTTCCCACAGTCCAAGTGGCATCTATGCTTCATTAGTTTTCTTTACCAACAATTCCAAACACAATTATATTCAGCATACTGCCATATAAAGCTGAATGTATTAGTGAATAATGGCTTCATAAATGTGAACTTCTTAAATGTGACAGTGTGCTGACTGTCTATGTTTTACATCAATGCCAACTGACTCCTGGTTGGACAAATGAGCTATTAGGCTAATTAATATGTCCTGTAAAACTGCAATAGGCATTTCCGCAGTGTTTTCAAAAAGCAGCAAATCCTCACAAATGAGAAGATGGATTCTGTTCTGCCTTTTTTTCTACAATGAATTACTAAAGAAGATAAATTATCAAAACAGCTTGTGATTAAGTTTCCTCACTAACTGTTTCAACCCTAAACTTCATCAACAGAAAACAAATGCATGCAAATTGTACCCAGATTCTGAAAACAAACACTTCCTTGATAGATAAGCTGTCATAGTTTGTGCTCTCAACCTATGTCATGTTTTTCTTGGTTGCATACTAGCTCACCTGTATCA